TGCTAAGGGAGATTCAAGAGGCTATCAAAATAAAAAACTCAGCAATAGTGGAGGACTATCCCTATATTAACTGGGTACACGTCACCTTAGGATGCAGAAATAAAATTTCTTGACTGCTTCTCGGAGCAGCTGGTTCTGGAACCCACAAGGGGAGAGGCAATTCTTGATTTAGTTCTAAGAGGAGGACAGGATCTGGTCCAAGAGGTAGATATAACGGGAACACTTGGAAATAGTGACCATAATGTAATAAAATTGAACATCCCTGTGAGGAGGGATGGGGGAGGGAAACACATAAGCAGCCCAACACTGTTGCATTTAATTTCAGAAAGGGGAACTACAGCAAAAAGAGGATGTTAGTTAATCAGAAATTAAAAGGCACAGTGCCAAAAGTAAAATCCCTGCGAGATGCATGGAAACTTTTCAAAGCCACCAGAATAGAGGCCCAATTTAAGTTTATACCGCAAATTAAAAACACAGTAAGAGAACCAAACAAATGCTGTTATGGCTAAACAGCCAAGCCTGAGACAGGGCTGGCAGCAAGCCCGCAGCCATGGCAGAAAGTAGCCAATTAGGACCCAGTTGGGGCTACATACATAAGGGCTCCAGGAGGGAGGAAGAGAGACTCTTGCTGTAGCTGGAGAGCAGGAGGGACCTGGCTGCCAGGGAAGCTGGGGCCTTCCTGGAACAGAGCTGGGCTTGGAAAAGGCAGGCAGGACTGGGGAGCTCTGCCTCAGGGCAAGGCCTCAGGGTTAGAGGGCTGCAGGGAGGCGGCCAGGATAGGCAAAGGCAGCAGGTCCACCCCTTTGCCAATGACGAGTGGCCATTTCAGACTTCAGTTTGCCCCGGAGATAAGGGGCTAGATGAAGACTGATAGTGGGTCACTGAGGCAAGGTGGGAATAGGGAAATTGCGGGTTCCCTGGGAGGGGAGTACCCCCAGAGTACAGACACTGATAAACAGCTCCCCTCCCCCCCAGAAGGGGGCCAAGAGACATTGGAGTGGGCACTGCTGGAGGGCAGTGTCCTGAAGAGGACCCCGCGGTCTGAGAGTGGCGTGGGTCTGAGCTACAGCGTGACATGAAGACACGGAGGGACACCCACCAGAGGGAGGTGCCCTGCTTCCAAGCTAATTCCCAGTGCTACCGGCAGGAGGCGCTGTGGTGGTGAGTATCCGCCCCATGACATTTGGTGGAGAACGTGGGCAGTTGCTACAAGGGGACTAGTATGGACTGAGTGAGCTGTGCCTAGAGAGACTGAACAGAGGATGGTGGGGAAAATGGACCCCAGATATGCAGAAGTCTTTTTTGCAGAGTGCTCATGTGCAGTTCCTGACTGGACTCCTGTGTCAGTGCCCCAGCAAAAGAGGACTGGCCAGCAGCAAGAAAGATTGGTGAGCCTAATGCAGGAATTTGGGGAGAACCAGAAGAGACAGCATGAGGGGCAGTGGGCCCTTCAGAAACAGTTGGTAGCAGAACAATGAGCCCTGGTAATACTCCTACAGAAAGAGTACAGGAACAGCCGCCCAGGGTCAGGAGGCTGGCAAATGAGAGAAGGACTTGCTATACTTATTGGTGGTCTGAAAAATGGCTTTTGCACAAGAGAGGGTTTTTGTGAAAAAAGGAGCTGTGCAGATGGCTCCTTTTTATGCAAAAGCCTCTTGTGCAAAAATGCCCCCTAATTAATTATGCAAATGAAGCACGGCAATATGCTAACTGTGTGGACCCAGACCCTGAAAGTAGAGAGTACAGAAGAGTTTGGCCTGCATGAGCAGGTGGAAGCAGCAGAGAAGGCCTGCCGCCAAACAGAAGCGAACGCGACAGACATGGCCACGGAGTACGAGGCCGTGGTGGAGGAGAACGTACATCTACGGAGTCAGGTGAAAGAAGAGGAGAAGCAGCAAGTGGCTCTGGAGGGGCACCTGCGACTGGTGAAGGCTAGGAAATCTCCCTACCCCCCGGGGTGCTGATTTTGAGGAGGGGTGAGAGAGACACGGCATCTGCCCTATACTGGCCCTTTAAGGGTTAAACCCCAGCCCTGGGAGAGGGGTGGAGCTGAGGAGCCAGCAGCTGTGGCCACTATGACCCAATTAGGGCCCAGCTGAAGGCTGTATAAATAAAGGCTCTTGGAGGGGTGGAGACAGACACTCTTGCTCTGGCTGGGAAGCAGGAGGGACCTGTCTGCCAGGGAAGCCAAAGGCCTGCAGAGATGAGGCCTGAGAATACAAGGGCTGTAGTTAAGAATGGGGCTGGGGAAAGGCAGGCAGTTGGGGAAGCTCTGACCAGCCAAACTCCCAGGCTGCGGGGGCTGAAGCAAGGCCTGAGATTACTATGGCTGCAGAGAGGCAGCCAGAGAAAACGAAGGCAACAGGTCACACCCCCTTGCCAATGATAAGTGGCCATTTCAGACTGCAGTTTGCCCCTGAGGTAAGGGGCTAGATGAAGAATGGCAGTAGGGTCACTGAGGCAAGGAGGGTATAGGAGGTTGGGGGTTTCCAGAGGCGGAGAACTCCAGAGTGCAGAGACATGGGGAGACACCATCCAAAGGGGGTGCTCTAGCACCTAGAAGCTAATTCCCAGAGTGACCAGCAGGAGGCGGGACAGTGGTGCATCACACCGCGTTACAAGCACTCAAACACAATAAGGTCATTGCGGAGAAACTAAATTAATTCTTTGCTTTGGTCTTCATAGCTGAGGATGTTAGGGAGATTCCCAAATCGGAATCATTCTTTTTAGGTGACAATCTGAGGAATTGTCCCAGATTGAGGCCTTATTAGAGGAGGTTTGGAACAAACAAATAAATTTAACAGTACAAATCACCAGGACCAGATGGCATTCACCCAAGAGTTCTGAAAGAACCTAAACCCCATGCCCTGAGCTCCACATCTCCAAACTCCTACATCCCCAGTCTTTTGCCACAACACTCCTGCACCACTCACACACCACAAACCTGTGCCCTGAGCCCAGCATACACCCCAACCCAAACTCCTGCACCCTGATATCCACACGTCTGCAGCTTGCTCAGCACCTCAACCCTCCACCTGACTCCAACACTCTCCAACCTGGAGCCCCCTCCTCGAGCCAGCATCTCCTTCTTCTCCTCCTCCTGCATCCAACTTCCCTCCAGAGCTTGCACCTCTTACCCCTTCCTCCATCCAAATCCCTCATTCCCACCCCAGAGCCTGCACCTCCTGTCTCACGCCAGTGAGAGTGAGTGAGGGCTGGGGCCAGCAAATGATGGAGAGGAGCAGAATGGAGAGGGTGAGGCCACAAGGAAGGGGTGGAGTCTTGGAGAAGGGATGGGGTAGATCTTGGCTTGCCCCGATATTTAAAAAGTATCCTGGATGTAAAAAGGTTGGAAACCACTGATGTAAAGTAATGCACATTGGAAACAAATAATCCGAACTACACATACAAAATGATGGGGACTAATTTAGTTGTAACCACTCAAGAGAGAGATCTTTGGAGTCATTGTGGATAGTTCTCTGAAAACCATCCACTCAATGTGCAGTAGCAGTCAAAAAAGCAAACAGAATGTTAGGAATCATTAAAAAAGAGGTAGAGAATAAGACAGAGAATATCTTATTTCCTCTATATAAATCATGGTACACCCACTTCTTGAATACTATATACAGATATACTCAACTCATCTCAAAAAAGGATATATTGGTATTGGAATAGGTTCAAAAAAGGGCAACAAAAATTATGAGGGGTTTGGAACAGGTCCCATATGAAGAGAGGTTAAAAAGACTTGGACTTTTCATTTTAGAAAAGAGGAGACTAAGGGGGGATATGATAGAGATCTATAAAATCAATACTGACATGGATCAAGTGAATAAGGAAACATAATTTATTTATTCCCAAATATAAGAAGTAGGGGGTCACCAAATGAAATGAATAGGTAGCAAGTTTAAAACAAACTAATGGAAGTTTTTCTTCACTCTGCACACAGTCAACCTGTGGAACTCTGCCAGAGTATGTGGTGAAGGCTAGGACTTTAACAGGGTTCAAAAAAGAGCTAGATAGATTCATGGAGGTTAGGTCCATCAATGGCTATTAGGGGTGTCCCTAGTCTCTGTCAGGGGCTGGAAATGGGATGACAGGAGAGAGATTGCTTAGGGCACGTCTACTGAGTTATTTTGAAATAACAAGGTGAGTGTCCACACAGCAAGCCCATTATTTTGTAATTATTTCAAAACAACAGGCTTCTTTTTCTGGAATAACAAACCCTCATTTCATGAGGAATAATGACTATGTGTGGATGGCACAGCTGTGATTATTTCAAAATAACTGGCCTCCATGGCTTCTCACAGCTGCTGTGGTGGCCACTCTGTCCATACCCCTCAAAACTCTATAGGGGAAACTTCTGGTGGCACAACTCAAGCCTTGCCAGCCCTGCTCCACACTGCAGAATCAGTTTGTGCAGCAATGGCTGACCCCAGTACTCCCACTGAGCCCCCCTCAGTGCTGCTAGTGAGCTAGCAGCCAGCTCCTAAGCCCCTGCCCAGGAGCAGAAGAGGAGGGCCCCTTCTTGGTCAGGTATGCAGATGGATCTCATTGAGGTCTGGGGAGAGGAAGCATTAGCCAATGTTGGAAGACAAGATACTAGGCTAAATGGAAATTTAGTCTGACCCAGTATGGCCGTTCTTATGTTCTTAATCATCTCCATTTGGCTCACTATTATTATGAGCTCTCCCCTGAGTAAAGATATAGCAGATTTGTACTTTTCCTTGCTATAGGAGTACCACAGCTTTAAGACACATACCACAAGTGTCCCTCTTTTGGAAACACTTGTAAAATTGAGGCTAGCTATTTGCAATAAAGGTTGTCAAACTCTGTAATGAACCTTTCTCCCCGGTGACTTCCTTTTGTTGAATCACACATTTTTTTGAGTGGTGTTTTGAAGAGGAGTATCATGAGACATACATAGCACACACTTCTCTCCTTCTTCCCCCCTTCCTTCGACGCCCCCATAACAAACAATCCTGTTCAAATATTGTTCTTACTTTCATGTTATGCAGAGTTTCTGTCCAGTCCATCGAGCCTATTTGAGGTATAGCCGTAAGAAGTATGCTTGTAGCCTTGTTCGCATTTTCTTTCAGAGTCTTTAAAACCTTATCTACTGAAACCTAGAAATACAATAAAAATTAATGATTTTCTCAAACTGGTTTGTAAAATACCGTACAAAACACAATTCTTAATTAAGCAATACACTACATATCATCCCCATATAACTGTTCTAAGGGGAGAACAAAATACACGAATAAAAATAATCTGTTATGCATTTTAAATTGAGATAATATGTCACAGAATAGAACTTTTAAAATAATCTAAAACTTCTTTTATTGTTATATTGTACAATTGGAAAGCCCTTCCTCGAGCTTCAATGAAATTCTTCACCAGAGTAAGGATTGAAAGATGGGCCCTTGCTGCGGAATTAGGGACTTACATTTACTCTAGCCATCTACGCGTCTAAATATAATACTGAGCTGACACATCTGAGTAGAGTGAGACCTCTTGCCATGGAATGTTTGAAAATGCCAGAATTACTCTTTATACAAAGACAACCTTGGGAAATCTGAGGGAGCAGCTATTAAATGTAAGCTGCAAGGAAAATGTCAGAAATGTATCAGCAGCTTTACATAAAATGCTGCAGTGTGGTGATTTTCATAGCATCAGTAAAAGCTTCAGTATCCTTTGTGAGGGCATAAATTCAATTTTAGTGGGCATACTTGACTGAAATCTTACTGTATAATAATGGACACTGTAGGGACATAAATATTTCCACTCTCCAAAAAGTCAAATTCTGTACCCTGTCTATTGGTCTGTCTCTGTGTGACACATTTGTACACAGACAAAGATTGCAGAAAATCACTATTTCAATTTTGTAACACGGTTCTTTCCAGAGCAAAACTACGTTAAGATGGAGGAAAGATTGAGGGTAAAATACATTACAAGGGTGTTATAAATATCCCAAACACAAGCACAGCAAACACAGAAAATTCAGAGCTAAGATTAAACTGGAAAGAAAACTAAATATGTTAAATGGCGTTGAAATACACAGTTAAGGAACCCAAACAACCTTCTGTCTTTGAAAGGCATCATCATGGAAAATAATCCCAAACAAATCCATCTTTAAATCTGGGACCTCATGAATCATTATTGTATGGTTATTTCAGGGCATCACTGTTGTAAATTGTGTGAAGGCTACAGTGTATTCTTCATATATACTAAAGATATTGAATTTCAACTTCAAATGCAATAAAACAAACAACCCTCTCACCCCCAAACAAAAACTTAACTATTGAGCTTTGACCACCATCTTCCTAAACGTAGTAAGAAAAAAAATCAGCTACTGATGCCTTTCCCTTGACTTAAGTGGTAGTTGTGTACATACATCCAATAGAAAATCTGGCTCTAAATATTTCCTGGCTCTAAAGATTTAGAAGAACAGTGGGCAATAAGCCAGAGGCGGTTCACCAGGGTTAGCTGCTGGCAGGCCGCCACTACTTTATTTAACTGCGCCTCCGCAGGTTCGGGCACTTGCCACTCCTACCGGCCATGGATCACTGTTTCCGTCCAATGGGAACGGCAGGAAGTGGCGTGGACTGGGACACCTCTTGCTGCAGCTCTCATTAGCTGGAAACGGCTATCTGTGGTCAATGGGAGCTTTAAGTGGCCATACCTGTGGACTTGCAGGTATATAAAGCAGTGGTGGCCCACCAGTGGCTAACCCTGATAAACTGCCTCTGGCACATGGGCTGGCTTCTGCTCACTCCTGATTTAGAATTATAGGTGTGGAAGGGACTGCAAGGGTCATCTAGTTTAACCCCCCGCTAAGATGCAGGATTTATAATTTCTATAATCATCCAAGAGAGATGTTTTAAGGCCAGAAGGGACCAATGTGGCCATCCAGTCTGATTTTCTGCACAAAACAGGCCACAGAAGTTCGCCTAGGAATTTTTGTATCAAGTCCAATAACTATTGGTTAAATACGATGGTCTCTTAAAAAGTCCCTGAAAGTCAATTTACAGACTACAAGTGATGGAGAATCTACCACATCTATTGACAAATGATTTCAATCTTTAATGATGCTTGCTGTTTAAAAAAGTGCCACATTTCCAGGATGGAATTGTCTAGCTTAAAAATTTTCTGCATAAGTATACTTGTTTTCTGTCCAAAACCAAACTGCCCCACAAAAGCTAGGAAATATTTCATGTAAGCATAAAAAAGGTAGAACCAGCAATTTTACAGAGCTCCTTTGGACAACTGTTTCTTCACGTCTTACAGCTGCTGCTGTCATTTTCTCTAATGACTTAGGCTGTGGTGTGCAACCAGTTCTGAAGCAGTAGCCACTATGGTGGCGACTGCTATAGCCAGGGCTTGACAAACCCCGGCAAGAGCCACTCGCCAGCCACGCACTGCGCATGTGCGAAGCGCCGGTGAATGGGGCACACGGAGCGACCGGCAGAACCCTGGCTATAGCGAACTAGCCACACTCAACCGGCCAAATAGCCACATGTGGCTAGCATGTTGGACACCACAGGACTAAGATTTAACTGGCAAGTATTCTGCTGGTTAGTGGTTGCTCTTGAATATGTTACATGAGAAAAGAGACAAGAACTAAAACAGATGTGTTTTTGTGTGGAGAGCTCAAGAGGTTAAGGACAAAGTCAGTTACAGGAAATAGATGTCACAACTGGCTTTATACACATACCCTTATTCACACAATAAGAGGTGACCGGTTTTATTCATGATTTGAGAACTTTATGAGAGGAAAAAGCAGGCATATTGGGCATTGTATTTTGCTCTCACTAAGGGCTTAACTACACTGCCAGTCCATAGTGCTGTAACTTTCTCGCTCGGAGGTGTGTGCGTGGGTGTGTGAAACCCCCCTTGAGCACAGCAAGTTACAGTGTTGTAAAGCACCAGCGTAAACAGGCTGCCAGCACTGTTAGCTACACCCTCGTAGAGGTGGTTTTCCTATAGTGCTGGAAAAGCTCTCTCCCAGCGCTTCTGTCATGGCCACACTGCTGCGTTAAATCACTGCTATGGCTGCACTTTAAATTTAGAAGTGTAAACAAAGCCTAACACCTGAGTTTTTTCAGAATAACCCCAATAATTTCAGGGAGTGAACTAGGATATAAACCAGCATAATTAAGAGCAGAATTTGTCTGGTATAAAAAGCCCAATTGTGATTTCTAATAAGAAACTGTATAATTTTCTGTACACACACTACATATAGGTTGTCAATCTAAAACAAGAAGACCAAACAAAAAAGAAGTGTCACTCACGGCTTCTTCATGCTCCTTCCAACAATCGTAATCCGTTGCCATAGCAATACTTGCATAGCAGATTCCAGCTTCTCTTGCAAGAACTACCTCAGGAACTGTGGTCATGTTGATAACATCAGCTCCCCAATTGCGAAACATCAAGCTTTCTGCCCGAGAACTGAAACGTGGCCCCTCAATGGTGATCACTGTCCCCTTTGAGTGGCACTTGATCCCATGCTTCTTTGCAACCTCCATAAGAACCTTTACAAATATTATCACAGATACAGCAAATTATTAATCACCTGTGTGAAGCCAGCTATTTCCTCATACAAGAGAAGTAAGCAAAGAACATTTCTTTGTCTGGTGTGACACTTTTGCCTCTCATCTGAATAACTTTCACACAATGAGGCTGTCTTTACACCAGTGGTGGCCAAACTTACTGACCCTCGGAGCTGCATAAAATAATCTTCAGAAATTTGCAAGCTGCAGGACACTCACAAACTGTTGGGATATGTAAAAATGTTAATAGGGGGCTGAAGTTGCTCTAGTAGTTCAGGGGTCAGCCACGGCATTACCCTTTAAACTTGCTTTTTCCTTTTGTTTTTTGTAGTTTGGGAAGACAGATTAAGAGTCCGGTCGAAGCCATTATTATCCTTTCTGATGTGTAGAATCATAGCACTGGAAGAGACCTCAGGAGGTCAAGTCCAGTGCCTTGCCCAAAGCAGGACCAATCCCAACTAACCCCAATGGCTCTTACTACATTTAAAAAGCAAAGCCGCAACAATTCTGGCACGGGTGCAAGCTAGGACTGCTTGTGCCATCCCAGCTCTCACTGTGCACGGGAGCTAACCTCCTTATTGACTTATTGACTAGTCAATGGAAATTCCATTGACTAATCAATTAGCTTATTAACAGCTACTTAACATCCCCAGAAATTGATAGCATGATGACTAAGTGGGCTGAAAGGTTTTTAGAAGACTAATCTGACTGTAACTTCTGTAAGTGATTCTGTGCTTTCTATGTACATGCCATTTTGCAACTTGTATTCCTCAGGGTACATCTACACCAATGCTTCTTAAACTGTGTTCCACAGTACACCGGTGTGCCACGGAGAACACATAATAATAACTTTCCCCTGTCCCTTTTACCTCCCAACTTATTATTATTATTTTTTTGCTCCCCATAAAAAAAATTGTTAGGTGTTCCTCAGTCTTAAAAAGTTTGAGAAACACTGGTCTACACTGTGAAGCTATTTCGGGATACTTCCAGTATCTCAAAATAGGTATTCCGCGTCTTTTGAAACAAGCCCATTATTTCAAAATATAATGGGATCGCTATTCTGACGTCCCTGTAAACCTCTTTACATGAAGATTAAAGACTGTTTCAGAATAGCATTTTATTTTGAAATCTGGTCCTGTGTACACCACACCAAATTATGAAATAAGCTATTTCGAAATTAATTCAAAATAAGCTACGCAATTTGCATAGCTCAAATTGTGTAGCTTATTTCGAGCCTTAGGTGGAGTGCAGAGGCACCCTCAGTGACTGTTAACATGGATCTCTTCGTTTTCCCTCAGCTCAGATGGAAGGATATGTTCTGGTCCAACTGAAAATGAGCCACTTTTAACCATAAACAAACTATTTTTAAAAACAATATCAATACTGAAAAGAAAGCAGCATTTTCTGTTACTTGTTAAAATAGCACAACCTTCCTCCAACACACAGAAATCCCCAAATGCATACAATAAGAGCATCTGTATTTAAAAATGCCAGTACAGACGACCCCGCACTTACGACTTAATTGGTTCCTGGAGAACCGTCGTAAGTCGGGCTGTCGTAACTTGAACCCTTATTACCCATAGGGGCCATGTTATGAATGGGGGTGCCGTTCCTGGCCTGCTTTGCCTCTTGGGAGTTGTAGTCTCCCGGAGCCAGGGGGCTCTGCTGGGCAGTAGGCAGCCCTGCAATGGGGCATGAACAGCGCCCTGAGTGAGCTGAGAGTTGTGCCGGCCAATAGGCAGCCCCGTGGAGCGGACAGCTGGGGGCTGGGCCCAGCAGTTGGTGACCCTGTGGCACAAATGGCAACTTGAGCTGGCTGGGGACTGGGTCAGGTGGTAGGCGGCCCCCGGAGCAGGGTGGCCGTAAATGCGGGGGGGTCATAGGTTGGATGGTCGGAAGTCGGAGGTCACTGTAATAAGATTAGTTTCCATCCTGAAAATGCTTAAACATTTCTTGTAATAATTGGGCCTACAAAATTTACCATGATTGCGAGCTCAACTTCAAATATAAGTAAAAGTTCACAAGATGCCACAATAACCTTTAATAAAAGAAATACTGATGGGAAAAGATACAAAGGGAGAAAGAAAGACTGAGTTAGTTGAAACCAAAAGGCCTACTGATGTAACTCAAGGACTGTGTTAGGATCACGACTAAACAGGAGGAGCTGACACCAAAACTTATTTTGTCCAACAATTAGGCACAGTATTCGACATACTAGGGCAGGAGTTGGCAACCTATGGCTCAATGGGGAGCCAGATATGGTTCTTCTGGAGCCTCAACTCAGCCCCCCTGCACCCCAACCCGCATCAGGGATGCAGTGCTGGTGCTACAGTCTTTCGGCCTCCTGCAAAGGGGCGAAGAAAGCCCCGAGCTTCTCCTAGGGAACAAGCAGGGCAAAAAGTGGCTATTTGAGCACTGCCAATTTCCTTCCTCCGGGAAACACTTCCTCGACGATTCCCCTGCAAATCCTTCCTGGAGGCTTCCTTCTGGCAGCAGAAGGCCATGTTCCACGGTGCCTGCCATGCGGCATGAAAACAAGTAAGTGCTCCCCCATCCTCTCATGCCCAGAGCCCCATGCCCTCACTCATCCCCCCCCAGCCAGCCAGTGATTCCCCTGCAAATCCTTCCTGGATGCTTCCTTCCGGCAGCAGAAGGCCATGTTCCACAGTGCCTGCCATGCGGCACGAAAACAAGTAAGTGCTCCCCCATCCTCTCATGCCCAGAGCCCCATGCCCTCACTCATCCTCCCCCAGCCAGCCAGCCAGCCTGTCCTCAAGCCCCGTGGCCAGACAGCCTGTCCTCAGCCCTCTGGCCAGACAGCCTACCACCAGCTTGCTCCTGCCCCCCTGGCCCAACTACCGCCAGTCCCTTCGAGAATACTTATGGTGCTGTCGAGAGCCCGAATGGTAGCACTCTGTACTGGAAGTGCCTGTCCTTTATTGTAAAACAGAGAAATCTTCTGTGTGATGGGTATATTGATATATGAAAATAAGTGTCCTGGAGGTCGAGGATAGACAACCATGCTCCTTTTTCCAAGGCAGGTATAATTGTGGCAAGGGTCGCCATCTTGAAGCGTTGGCATCTGACAAAGCAGTTAAACCTGCAGAAGTCCAAAATAGGTCTCCAACCACCCAACTTTTTGATGGTGAGGAAGTATTGGGAGTTGTTGCTGCGGTACCTCTTTTATGGCACCCAGACTTAGGAGATGTTCCACCTCTTGAAAACACCCCGCCCCACTGTTGCTGCGGTACCTCTTTTATGGCATCCAGACTTAGGAGATGTTCCACCTCTTGTATGAGTACATGCTTGAGAGAGGGGTCCCTGAAGAGCGACAGGCAAAGGTTGTGGATGGGAGCAGAGAGGGGCAACTAAAAATGGGATGCAGTAGCCAGTTTTCATGATTTCCAGCACGCACTTGGTGGTGGTGATGACACTTCAGGCTGGATAAAATGCAGCTAGTCTGTTACCAAATGTTGTGGATGCTTTGGATTGCTGCCTCGGAAATTTCGGGGTTGTCAGACCCTCGGTCAGGTCTTCAAAACTGGTGTCTGATGTTGAGGGTTGCTGAGCTGATGACTGGTCGGAGGCCTGTCTACAACTATTTTGGCATGGCTGGCATCTGTTGTCATAGTGTAATTGCTGTTGGTTAATGAGGTAGGTCTGTACCTTTGGAAGAATGATCTGCCTTGTTTTCTTTTTGTGACAGATACGTGAATGCCTAGAGTCTTCAATGTGACTCTTGAATTATTAAGGTATGCAAGAAATGTCTGGACTCTGCCAAGAGCTTAATGCCCTCGAACAGCAAGTCCTCTACCGTTGATTGGACCTCTCTTGGAAACTCCGAGAGCTGAAGCTAAAAAGCTTGCTTCATTACCACTGCCAAGCCATGTTCCCTATAAGCTGTGTACCTGCACGGCCACGCACTAAAAATTTTAGGTCCATGCACGTCATTTTAAGAGCCACGCAGCAGCATCCACCACTCACTTCCCTGTGTGAATGGAAGGTGAGTGGCAGTGGTGGCTGGTGGGTTCCTGGTGATGGGCAGCTGCCCTTTTGCTCTGCCTGGAGCTGGGGCACATGAGATGAGGCTGGTCCGGTGAGGCTGCCAAAGCTGAAATGGGCCTCATGCGGCTGCCGCTTTACTCCAGTTGGAGCTGGGGCCGCCCGTGGTGCTATTTTTAGTACTGAGGTCCTGTGGGGATCAGGACCATAGTACTAAAAATAGCACTGCAGGCGATCTCTGCTCCAGTCCCGACATGCAGTCCCACCGCAGGAGCAGATGGGGTTTTAGGGCCAGGGGCTGCAGTACTAAAAATAATACTGTGATCCCTGCTCCAGCCCCCGCAAACAGCTTTCCATGTTAAAGGTAGAAAATTAGGGAAGGGGCAAGGAGAGAAAGGGGCTTGTGCTGAGGGGAAAGGGGCAGTCACCAAGGGACAGGGTGAAGGAGAGACAAATGCCAGGGGGCCCAGAGGAGACAATGAGGAAAAGGGCAGGAGGGGGGAGGGAAGTTGTCAGTGGGGATGCAAGAAGGGAGGAGACAGGGTGATGATAGGAGAGGGGTGGGATAATGGAGGCAAGAGGGAGGAAGAGTGGGTGCCAGGAGAAGAGAGGTTGAAAGGAGGGATGGGCACGAGGAAGGCAGGGGATGGAGCAAGTTATGTGTGAGGGCACAGAGGGGCATGAGGAGAACTGGGGCAGAGGATGGTGAGGGGGTGGGCACCAGGGAGAAAGACGATGCAGGTGCCAGGGATATTGTGGGGATGAAACAGAAGGGCAGACACGTGGAGGGGAGGGATGGGCACCAGAGGACAGAGCAGGGCAGGTGTGTAAAGGGAGGTGTTAGGAGAGGGGATAGGGAGGAGTAGCTTCAGATGAACAGAGTGGTGCTAGAGGAGGAGTGGGCACAGAGAGAAGGGAAGGGCAGGTGCAGGGGTCAAGGAGGATGGGGAGGGAGAGTAGGTCCCCAAAGGGCTGAGGGG